CTGGAGGTAGAAGTATAAAGCACTAGCCTTGAACAAAAAAAATAAATAAAACTTAAAAAAAAAAAAAAGAAAGCTTAGGAACAGTGCTCAGGTCCTGAGTTCACACACACACACAAAAGTTATGCCAGGGATGCTGGTGCATGCCTGTGATCCTAGCACTCACAGGAGAAGTACATGCAGGACGACTGCAAGTTTGAGGCTAGCCTGGGCAACTAAGCAAGACTGTATCTCACTATTTCCCCCCAAAAAGTTTAGGATGACTAATTGTATAATGTTTTAATAGCATAATAGTAAAACTAATAATACATCTCCCCCCCAAATCCCATACAAACAAAAAACTAAAGTCATATATATCATATCTGTATGGGTGAAACAGAAGCATACCTGGTGTATCAATTAGATTGACTCTATACCCCTTCCAATCAAAAGTAACAGCTGCTGATTGAATGGTAATGCCTCTTTCTCGCTCCTGAGCCATGAAATCTGTTACTGTATCTCCATCATCAACATCTAATCAGGAAAAAGAGGACACAGTTTAACAGCCAGAGCATTGCATTGATACTTGGAAACTATTTGACATAATTTTCCTAAAGAAAAATCTTTCCCCAAATATTTGCTCTAATATTTACAAAGCTTTTCTTTTTTCTCAAGGATAGCACTCTACCACTTGAGCCACAGCACCAATTCCATTTATAAAGCTTTTTTCAAACTACTGACATAAAAATGCTTTTTCTCATACTAGGGCATGGCTGAAGTTATAGAGTACTTACCTAGAAAAACACAAGGCCTGGAGTTTTACCAAGTATTAATTTTATTAAACTATGTACTTTTTAATTTTTTTCCCATTTTAACTTTTATTACTCTTCTTTATCCTTCTTGATCCCTTGATAGGAGGCAAAGTTGTGTAATTTAACAACACAAACTTATATCCTAGCTTACCACTCACTTACCCTATGATCTTGAGCAAGTTACTTAACTTGGTTTGGAGAGTGAAATGAGATGGTACTGAGTACATAGTCCAGTAGATGATAAATGGCAGCAACACACAATAAAGTAATAGAGATAACTTAGATATCAGACCATTACCTCAGGTACACAATTTGGAGGTATGAGGAAAAGACTTATCAGACATATGACAAAACAGAGAAAACTTAACAATGCTGCATAATACAATAATTATTTTATGAGAAATCAGGTGGTTATACAGTTAGGAACCTACTCTCATGAAGATTCTAATCCTATGTTCTCTCCCTGAAGAAATTCTAAGTCTCAGTCACTTCTCAGGGGATAGAGAAATGGCATACCATAAAGTAGACTTCTGAACCTTAATTTCCAAAGTAAGCTACAGCACTGCTATTTTAAAACAAAAGAAAAACACAAAACAAAATATTATCTAAGGATCCACATTTACATGCTTAACCAAACAGCCTAATTTTCACATTATAGCTACAAAAATTCAAAACTTAGGTAAATGCTATTATAGTAAACTAAGGATTTTTTAGATATTCTTTTTTTTCCCCCTTTCTACATGAGAATTTGAGGATTTACTTTTCAGTTCTTTTCTTCAAGAAATGAGACAACCAAAAAATCAATCATGTTCCTGGGCAACATACAACAAAACTTCTGATGGGTAAATTAAATGTGAATTGGGAAGAATTATCACTTAGGGGGTATCACTTTGGGCTTTCCTGAGGAGGGTATGGCATGTCCCTATGTGAGACCTGCAAAGAAGCCTATGGATTTGTAACAGCAGATAGTCATTGCTACAGAGCATCAGTCTCCTACTAAACTTGGGTGGCTTTTGTACAAAGAAACATCTAAAGCTATTGGGAAACTGTCCCATAACCTTTTGGGTGCAGCGATGCCAATGAGGCCATTATGGCTTTAAAGTCTGCATGTTCAGTGCAGTCTTAAAAGAGCCTTTGATGTATGTTGCAGCTACCTTGTCTTTAAGTTGTGGTTTAGACATCAGTGATTCCATGCCATAATCAAAGGTTCTAGATTGACTTCTTAATCAATTATTTTCCAATGATGCTTTTGCTAATAGGGAGTAGGGATAGGAGGAATCCATTCTAACCTCCCAATGATCTTGTGTATCCAGAATAGTACAATATTCTTTCTGTGGTGGTAGTTTTGCCTGCATCAATATGAGCCATAATTCCAATATTACGGATTCTGTTTAAAAAGGGGAGGGAAAATGCATTATTAGGTATATACTAATAAAATATAAAACAAAATATATATAGTATATACATTTCAAAGCTGGTTAGTATTCTTATAATTTATATAATTATGTAAAATCTAGAAAAAAGCTAGGCGCCATTGGTTCACGCCTGTAATCCTAGCTACTCAGAAAGCTGAGATCTGAGGATCACAGTTGGAAAACAGCCTGGGCAGAAAAGTCTGTGAAACAGAGTCTTTCTTTTTTTTTTTTTTTGGGTCCAGTCGTGGGGCCTGAACTCTGGGCCTGGGCGCTGTCCCTCAGCTCTTCAGCTCAAGGTTAGTGCTCTACCACTTGAGCCACAGCGCCACTTCCGGCTTTTTTCTTATGTGGTGCTGAAGAATCGAACCCAGGGCCTCATGCATGCAAGGCAAGTGCTCTACCACTGAGCCACCTTCCCAGCCCATAGCTGTAATAATCTAAAACTTCTAAAAGGTCAAGCAGTATTTCTTCTTGAGACAGAGTCTTACTATATATCTCAGCCAACCTAGAATTTGCTATGTAGTTCAGGCTGATCTCAAATTTGGTCCCAGTCTCCTGTGTGCTAGGATTATAGGTGTGTTCCACTACACCCAGCCAGCTTATATTTTTTAAAATATAAATATATGCCCATAGTGTCCAATGCCATGCTTAACGTAGATTTCACTAATAAGTAATATTAAAGCACTTTTAAATGCAATTATATTTGTAAATTTAATCTGTATCTTGGTGCTTTTTAAACCAGTTCTTCCAAATTTCAGTTTCATATTATTTCTTAAAACCCTGTGACGGTCTAAAGATCAAAAGATAACCTATACTCTACAGCTGAATTCACATAGATAGAAAATGAAAACCTACATATGCACAATTAATGCAGTCTATTAAATTCCTTTCAAGTCAAGAACTAATGAATATTTTCAATGCACCATTTTCTTTTCTTTTTTTTTGGTCCGTCATGGGGCCTGAACCCTGGGCCTGGGCACTGTCTCTCAGTTCTTCAGTTCAAGGCTAGAGCTCTACCACTTGAACCACAGCACCACTTCTGGCTTTTTCTGCTTATGTGGTGCTGAGGAATCGAACCCAAGGCTTCATGCATGCAAGGCAAGCCCCTAATACATCATTTTCTTGACAAAGATGGTAATGAGAATAACAATAGAATTAAACTAGTTTCAACCAGTCTACCACACACTTGCTAATACAAGACACTAGGAATAATGTTGCACATATGTTGGCTTAGTAACAATTAGCAATTAAAATAATTTGCTCCTAAGCCTGCCAGCCCCTAATAGCTATATATCAAAATAAATATTTGCAAGCACCGGTGGCTCATGCCTGTAATCCTAGCTACTCAGAAGGCTGAGATCTGAGGATGGCGGTTCAAAGCCAGCCCAGGCAGGAAAGGCTGTGAAATTCTTATCTCCAATAAACCACCAGAAAACCAGAAGTAGCTCTGTAGCCTTGAGCTGAAGATCTGAGGGACAGAGCTCAGGCCCAGAGTTCAAGCCCCATGAATGACAAATGACAAATAAAAATAAATAAATATTTAATCAAACTACTCCTAAGACTCTTCAAATTAATTTTTTCTAGTAAACTTGCACTGACAGAAAACAGTTTGCCTAAAGCCCAGCAATGAATTACAAAAAAAATTTTTATAGCAAGAGCTTCTCCACATGAACTCACATGCTAATTAATCAGCTACCACCTCCAGCAATCTTGTCTTTGCTCATTCCCTCAGTATGTCCAGCAGAGGTGGAACACAATTCCATTGTATTCCTTCCCTCCTAACATCCATCACAATACCCTTACCCCCAAGAATCTTAAGAAAATGGCCAAGAAGTAGAACAGAGTCAGAGACCTCTGAAAAAAAAGAGATTCTCGCAAACAAAAAACGTAAAAGAGCAAGAGAAAAAAGAAAGGAAGCAAATTAGTAAAATCAGAATCAAACATTTGTACCTGGTAAGGAACTGTAATTTCTCCCAAGAAGTATCCATGGCTTTGATCTTTTTAAACTTGCTTTTATACAGCAGCATATATTCTGGTAAAGAGAAAACAAAATCTGACATTAGTTTTATTTTAGATACTAATTAGATTTTTATTGCAGTAATTTTCACATTGTAACATGCTTTGTCAGAAGAAAACACTTTGCATCCCCTTTTGAAGGAACCCAAATTCTCATATTCTTTTAAGAACGTCACAAACCAAATCTATATTACAGAAAAGAATAAGAATAAAATTAATACTAATATAAATTTTCCATTTGGAACTGACCTTTAGACATGGCTTAGACTTGTATCATTAGCATGGTGCTGGGCACTTATTGGAAATGCAAATTTTCAGACCCTACTCTAGACAAGAAAAGCAACTGACTGTGATAGCTACAATTTGAAATCTGGGACGGAAAACTTTAGATAAGAGTCAGAAAAATGGGGCTGGGAAGGTGGCTCAGTGGTAGAGCGCTTGCCTTGCGTGCATGAGGCCCTGGGTTCGATTCCCCAGCACCACATAAGCAAAAAGAAAAAAAAAGCCGGAAGTGGTGTTATGGCTCAAGAGGTAGAGTGCTAGCCTTGAGCTGAAGAGGGACAGCACCCAGGCCCAGAGTTCAGGCCCCACGACCAGACCCAAAAAAAAAAAAAAGTCAGAAAAGTTAAATAAGTATTTCCACATTGGATATACTTGGTTCTACTAAATGCTTGTGAAGAGCAAGAGTTCAAAATACAATAGCTACTTTAAGGATTTATGTTTGTCTGTGTTGTTTTTTGTGTGTATGTGTGTGTGTGCACACACACATGCATGCATGCCAGGACTGGAGCTTGAACTCTAAGCCTTTCACTATAACTAGGCTTTTTCCCACAAAGCCCTCTTCAGCTCAAGGCTAGCACTCTACCACTTGAGCCACAGCGCCACTTCCGGGTTTTTTTCCTTTTTGCTTATGTGGTGCTGAGGAATCGAACCCAGGGCCACAGGCATGCAAAGCAAGTACTCTACCACTAAGCCACCTTCCCAGCTCAGTTTTTTGTTTTTTTGTTTTTTCCTGCTGGTCGTGAGGCCTGAATTCTGGGCCTGGGCACTGTCCCTCAGCTCTTCAGCTCAAGGCTAGCACTCTAGCACTTTGACCCACAACTCCACTTCCAGCTTTTTCTGCTTATGTGGTGCTGAGGAATCGAACCCAGGGCCTCATGCTTGCAAGGCAAGCACTCTACCACTGAGCCACTTTCCCAGCCCCTAGCTCAGTTCCTTAGTAACTAGGATTATAGATTTGAGCCACTGGTACCTCAAGCTAGCTTGTTTTCAAGATTTCTAACAGTAGCTATTCATGTGAATCATCTGAAAGCTTCTTTAAAACAAGACAGTGGGGCTAGGCACTGGTGACTCATGCTTGTAATCCTAACTACTCAGGAGGCTGAGATCTGAGGATCATGGTTTGAAGCCAACCCAGGCAGGAAAGTCCATGAAACCCTTACCTCCAATAAACTACTCAGAAAAAGATGGAAGTGGAGCTGTGGCTCAAATGATAAAGTGCTAGCCTTGAGCAAAAGAAGCTCAGGGACAGCCCCTAGGCCCTGAGTTCAAGCCCCAGGACTAGAAGGAAAAATAAAACAAAACATGACAGTGGGGCACAAAATACTGGGAGAGAGCAAGGGAAGGGATAACATTATCTAAAAAGAAATGTACTTATTACCTGACTTATGTAACTGTAACCCCTCTGTACATCACCTTTATAATAACAATTAAAAATTAAAATGAAAAGAAACATGGCAGAGGGGGAAGGGAGAGACGAGCTGGGAGATATGGGAAGCAATATTGTCAGAAGTCTCCCAGTTGCCTCCAATGTCACATCACAATGAGAATCACTGAGTTAGAGCAGGCCTATGTAAAACCAAGTCTATCTTCTACACTAGCAGCTGTCTTTATCTTCTTACACTGGATACTCTCCCTCCTAATCTATCCCTAGACTACTAGACACACATTTACACCCATCAACATATGTGGGCTATTTAGCGTATGTAATAACATCACAAGTTAAATATATAAATATATATTCTTCTGAATGCTGCACAGTAGCAGAACTGAATTTACAGACATGATCAAAGATGTGTCTTCACTAGTCCTCTCCTCTGCTAAGTCACTGCTGGAGAAGAAAAACCAGACAAGCTGTTGCCTGTCACTTAGCTGTAAATGATACACTGCATGGCTTCATTTGAGAATATTTCTAATGTACACTGAAGATGTGACCATTTACAAAATCATTTATAATATTTTCAAGGAGATTCAGAAATCAGGCAGAGCTTAAAGACTGAGACAATATTCCTGAAATATGGGACAAATTCCAAAGTAGCCAAGCAATTGGCTTTCAACAGCTCTGCAGAAAAAGTCTGATGATTGATTGATTGATTGATTGATCAATCGATGATAGTACTGGTGAAGTAAGGAGAGCCTCACACTTGCTATGAAGGCACTCTAACATCTGAGCCACTCCACCTTTAGAACCATACTGCCTGTACAATTTGCAATGTATTTTCAAGGTGGAGTCTTGTGCTATGCTTGGGCTAGCTTGGACTGTGTTCCCCCTATTTATGCTTCCCTTTGTTGCTGAAATGGCATGCATACATGAGCCTAGTCATTGTGCTTTTCCCATAGCTTGGAATGCCTCTGTGCTCAGGCACTGACTGAGCTGGAGTATCCTAAACTCTTATGCCTGGGCTGGCCTTGAACTCTCTCTCTCTCTCTCTCTCTCTCTCCCCCCTAAGTTGCTAGGATAAAAAGTCACATTACCTTGCAGAAAAGTTTTATTTTAAATCTTGACACTGACTTTAACAGGAGCTTTATTTCATAAAAGTTTCAACCTACTGACTTTAAAGTATAAAGCATATCTTTGCAGTTTAAAGATGATAATTAAGTGCTGCCATTGTTAGGAAAGATATAGACCACTACTGTCCTCCAATAACTGGCACTTTATACCTCATGAGAACAACACTTCCTCTGTTTTTTGTTTTTTTTTTATTATTAAAGTAATTTCTTTTGACACTTGTTAAATTAAGAGAATTTCTTCTCAATTAGTTTACCTTGAGGATAGCCAAAGGCTATGATTAAACTTGAGTTTGGAATAAAAAAGTGATTATTTACAGCCAGACACTGGGAGTAAAATAACTGAGGTCGTTAAAGCACATTTAATTTTACAAGGAAAGCTTACATGAATGTGCATGCTAGGCATTTTCTGATGACTCACTGCAAATATCCACAAGTTAGTCAACATCTTGATCTTCTAAACTGTTTTCTGCTGCAAAATGAAAAACACAGAAGTATAAAAATTAAAATTGTCCATATGAATGAACTATAGGGCCACAGTATTAATCATAGTGTTATGTAAGAAGCCATGTCTAATCCCCTCTGAAATCTGTTATGTTCTTATTCAGAAAATCACCAAGTTCTTTCGTTTCATTTCCTAAACAGAATCTTGAATCCATTCCTTCTTAATTCCAAATGGCAAAGTTCTGGCCTTATCACTCTCTGCAGTCACTATTGTTACAAACATTTGTCTTTTGTAGCTCTAACCCAATGTTGTCAATAGGAACATGTCAACACCCCACCTGTGCTCAGAAACATTGGCAAAGATTTTGGAGTACAAATTAATTTCTTTTTTTTTTTGCTTTTTTTTTTGGAGGGGGGTCCAGTCATGGGGCCTGAACTCTGGGCCTGGGCGCTGTCCCTCAGCTCTTCAGTTCAAGGCTAGCGCTCTACCACTTGAGCCACAGTGCCACTTCCAGCTTTTTTCTTTTTGCTTATGTGGTGCTGAGGAATCGAACCCAGGGCCTCATG